TTTATGTGGGTATGATCATTCAAACAGGACGGACTGGCAATTGTGATTGCAGGTCTCGGTCTAGCAGTACAATGTTACGACAAAGGACCCTAAAAGTTACAGTACAAAGTTTGCTCTTATCAGATTCTTAAATCGTTAGCTAAGTTAAAAGGTATCATACTATCAGTGTGCTTTCCAATCCAATATCGCGTTTACCACGTTTAGTTGTTACCATTGGCCATAAGTATTTTATCTTAATAACACCGAGATACTGTGGACACCCTACGTATGCCTTTCAAATCGTCATTTCGTATTTTCTGATGCGACTGATGCAAGAACTGGATTTGAAACGGCCTGAAAACACAGTCCAAGTGCTTACTCGATTCAATATTATTTTGGCTTCAAATGTGTCATTGGTTTTTCAATGTAATTATATTTCATCTTTCTGGACCAATGTTTTGTAGTTAGTGTCCCAGCTGTTATTCTGCGATTGACTAGCTGCTCCTACCTGAATTTCCTCTAATTTGACATTAGATAAACTAATTGACATTGTTTTATATAAATGTTGGTGGTAAGATAAGATGTTTGGCGTTCGCAATCAAATCGATATATAACCAGGTTGACATGGAATGTTGATTGCTTCCTTTAATCTTCTACTAACATTACTATTCTGATTAAATTCCTTTGCAAACATTGATAACCTATCAATACTGGGAGGAGAACACGGAAACATTTTAAAGGGTTTTGTTACATGTATCTTGTCTTTTAGAAAAATTTAGATGAAAATGTGTTACGTACATTCTTGAATAAGGACAACTGTGAATATACGATAGATAGCGTGTAGCAAATTAAAGGGATAATAACTCTTCGTTTTGGCCAAAAATTGAATTTTCATGGAGTAAACAACAATTTTCCCATACTTACCAATGGTTAATGAATTCATTTTTACATTCAAAGTTAGTCCCTGGTTTTTTTCTAAAAAGTTTGATTTTTTTGTTAAAATTTCTTAAGAGATTATAACAGAGTATAGGCATCAATGGAGGTCACGTGGTCTAAAGACAAGCTCAGATATCAGAATAATAGCTATAACTCCTGTTTTTGTCGTAAAACAGAATATATTATATTTCTATGAGTTATTCACAATGTTTTTATTGTAAAATATAGACTTTGTACGAAGAGTTATTATCACTTTAAAGTCTAACTTTTAAGCGGCATAAATGTGTGTGGGGGGATAGAGTGGGGGTGCGGTGGGGATAGAGTGGGGGTGTGGTGGGGATAGAGTGGGGGTGATATGAGGGAAGAGTGGGAGTGTTTTAGGGGTAGAGTGGGGGTGTTTAGGGGGGTAGAGTCGGGGTGTGGTGGGGGTAGGGGTACAATGGATCTGTGTGCATTGAACGTCCATGTGTGTCAGAGGTAATGGGGGATCCGCGCACGCGCGCGCGCGCGTGTGTGAATGAGCGTGAGTGTCAGACACATTAAGTCAAGACCAAGTCTGAGTTGCATAAAACATATCGTGATCAATAAATATCATCTGCAGCGCACATACAGGTAATGATATATTCCCGGTTTGTCCTTTTTCACGGATTAGAATCGAGACGTGGATGTGAACACCAATCTTTCTCTGTGTTCATACATATACCCCTCGTTTTAAAACTGCTCATGCTTCAAAGCGGACGCATTGGGTTACAATGCCCTTGTGACACCTGTGTTGGGCTACTGCAGATCTCTTTCTTATGGGTGTCTGCAGTGCATTTCAAAAGATCTGTAACAATACCCTTCCCGCACAAAAATGCAGTAGTATCGAAGTAGCAAAGAAGCATTAACGCAGGAGTGGTGTGGAGCATATTTGCAGCAGAAATGCAGTATAGCCTACTGCAATTCTACTTCAAAATTTACATAGGGTTGTACAGAGGAGGAGCATTAATGCAGTAGATTAGCAGCATGATGGAAGCATGTTTCAAATATGCTAATTAGCTCCCACATCGAAGCAGATTTGAAGCATGTTTGCAGTATAATTGCAGTAGTCTACTGCGCCGGAGTATCTACTTCGTTTTCGTGCGGGTTAACTGTACTATTGGGAAAATTCAATTCGCACCGATTCTGAAACAACACAGATTACAATCATAAAGTAACGGGTTATCTGTAAACTTCTAGAGTGTGCATGCCCATGTCATCTATTACAATTTCATGTTACTTGGAAAACCTGCAATGTGACCTTTCGTTTAATGTGTCAGCACCTATCCAGATGTACATGTTTTTACAATTTTGCCATTAATTAATAGCTTCCCGTTGGACTGAAAACAGGTACCTCTTTTTGGAAATCAAACAACTGGAACTTTCTAGCTTTTGCGTGTTGCAGATTTCAGAGGTAATGAAGTATCATTTTGACAACGTAAGTGCTAACAGTTCTCCTCCGATAAGTGATTTATTGGAAAAACGCAATTATGCCATTTTTGAGTGCTGATACTAACCCCTTTGAGCACATGTGAGATAATTTGGAGTGTGACGTGCAGAGAAGAATCAACTCCTCAATAATCTGCAGCGCGCCACTTAAACACACACGCACATACACGCACACAGATGCACACGCGTACGCAGGCAAACCAAATGAAGAGCAATCTTGTGTGTGTTTTTGTGATGTCTTTTTGATTTTATGGAGACTTAAATTTAATTTTGTGAAACATCAGAATTATGCATCATGTTCAAAATGTAAATATATCATTTAAAAGCTGAATACCTCTGCCGGGGTATTAAATTTTTTTGTACCATAGGTCACGTTAGTTATGGTGTCTCGGAAAAAGGGTTCTATTTATAACGGTTTACAGATTTGATGTATATCTTGTTATAAAATGGAAGTGTAGAAACATTTTCGTTCAAGAGTGTATGTTGAGGGCAATGCTAAGACTTTGTACAGCGTGCCGACCCATTTATGTTTTCGGCAATCTGAGGCCATGGCCTTACCTGAGGATACACGTAGTACTATAGTGGCAAAGAGACTAGACTGATAAGGCCACATGTCTGATCCAAGCGCAAACAGAAATAATGTGTCACTTAAGATAACTAATTGTGATTTTTAACCCCAGCCAGGACACACCTTGATAGGTTGTCATTCTTTAGAAAGATAAATTATTGTGTTTTGAAACATTTTATCTATACACAAAGATAATGGCGGCTGCGTGCAATACGGTTAAAACGGAAACAGTGTCCTACAATCCTACATAGTGTGGTATGATCAGCTTTCTAGCTTTGTGGAAATAATTTCATTAAGCAAAGAGAATAGCCCGATAACAAGAGACGCAATCTGTTATCAACCCACCTTCAAGTATAGTAATGGCGCTTATTTCTCATTTTGTCTTTTTCATTGTGTCATTGTGCCCTCGATTCATTCTGTTAACGTGCACGGTACGATAAAGCAAGTTATTTTCTCCAGCCTTTAACTTATCTTCAGTTAAAGATAATCCATCGCTTTTTACTTCGATGAGAACTTTACAGCTGCTCATTTCATCTGTTGCAGCGTTACAACACTAAACAGATATCCACGTGCAGCAAAAGGTAGGTGCGATTTTTCATTTTATGATCTCGTTTGCATTAAAGGACAATGGTCATATAAAAATCCATTTCTCGAATTTTGAAGATTCAACACTCAATCTATACACTAGAGGTATGTTTTAATCGATCCCCGCCATTTAAAAATTATAAAAACAATCTACTAGTAGTAAAAAAAGCGTTTTAGTAAACCTCACCTCAATATGCATAAATGAAGCAACAGATCTGGGTCACGCGGTAATGTGACGACAATTGGGATAAAGGTCTATGAGACTCAACTGAGCTGCATGGTGCAAACAGACAGAATAATTTTGGAAAGTTGTGTTGTATATCATAGCAGTAGGGCGTGTAGATTATTGTCTGAATAAGAACTGTAGATATTTTTGGTAATCAACATTGCTCCTTGTAATCAGGCACACAGTAAAACCAATCTCATCTTTACGCTTCCTTTACAAGTCATTATAGTGAATTTCAATGGCACTGGTAACTTTCTGGATTTTTACCGCCGAATTGAGTTGCCCTCGATAACAAAACCATTGCTTGATCACCCCTTTTCTTTCATGCAATTTTGTGTAATTAGAAAAAAAATTCAGTCAGTTAGTCTGCAAGACCTGCCAATGCATCCCAAAAGAAACAAAAACAACGCCGAAATGCTATCTGACACACACCTTGAAAACGGGTAGTGTGGTCCGATATACCGGTTAATTCAGGATCCTTAGGTGCCGAGTCTGGTAGTTGGTTAGGCCTGTGAATGCAACTCAGATGACTGTAAAGCTATTTCGGAAATGTTGGAAGATTCGAATGAACACGTGGCCTACCGTTTAGCTCAGGTTTATTGTATACAGTTAACATATCTTACCATCCATTTTCCACCACTCAATAATTTGGTTCTATTACTCCAACTAGAAAAGTAATTTTTACAGCAATCTATGTGCAATCATTGCTAGAGAAATTAGAAAATTACATGTAATCACTAATTATCAAATAATAGTCATTAAGGCATGTACTATATGCAGAAATAAATAAATAAATAAATAGATAAACAAACAAATAAATAAATAAATAAATAAATAATAATAATAATTATAATAACAATAATAATGTGTTTCCAGAAAGAAGAAGCATGCATCCGGAAAGAAAGTCCCAGCATATTGTCACATTCATAATAATAGGAGTACTTTGTATAACTGATACCACGACTACAAAACCTCCGACATCCACTGTGGATAGGGTACCTACCACTGTTGTCGATACTACAACACCTCCGACGTCCTCTGTGGATAGTACAGGTACCGCTGTTACCGCTACTACAACACATCTGACGTCCTCTGTGGATAGTACAGGTACCGCTGTTNTGAGATACTTTATTTAGAAACATTTTTTATTGTAAAAAAAAAAAGGAAGATATATCATAATGTCGTTAATTGTATGACCTGTTTATGTTATGTAATAAAGACGCTTGACGACACCACGCCATCTTGGAGTCACGTTGTTACAGATTGCGACGCAGATTGTGGCGATATTCTCAACCAACTTAAGGGGTGCTGTGGGACTGGTGCGTGTGCCAGCAGGTGCATCTGCTACACTGGCAGTAACCCTGTGAGTTGAACGTTTTTGTTGTTTTAAAAGCAAAAGAAACATAAATGCAAAAATAGGGTAGCGTAGGATGTTTACAGGTACTCCGTATATGAGTAAAATGTTTGTGCAAAAGGCCCTTAGTTATCTTCGATATCTATATAAACGTTTGATCATTTGTGTTAACTATTTCAAGCAAAGGCAATGCTATTTAGCACTCTTGCACGAATAAATTTTATCAAAAGTGTTTTCAGTTCAAGTTGTCTTACCGAACGCATGGAATCCAATATGTGACATATCTCGAGAAAAATGTATTTTGAGAAACATTTTTTTAAATTATTCACCAAAATTGTAATTGTAAATTTAAAATGAGTCTTGCTCAGACTACGACTGGTGAGCGTATTAATATCTAAACTGATAATACGAATATATAACAATCAAATCGTAATGTTAAGATGATATTTTCCCTTTAACTAAGTGCTATGAGTAGTATAGGTTCATACCAGGTTCAGGCCAAAAATCAAAACTGGTATTCTTTGTTTACAAAATCTACCACTACCGAATTAACAACCACCGACACTACCACAGAGTCAACGACCACCGATTCTACCACCACTGAGTCAACAACCACGGAGACTACAACCACTGAGTCTACCACTACCGAGTCTACAACCACCCAATCAACCACCACCGAGTCAACGAGCACTGAGCCTACCACCACTGAGACTACAACCACCGAGTCTACCACCACTGACTCAACAACCACTGAGTCTACCACCACCGCCCCCACCACATGTGAGTCTTTTAAAACTCTTTAAAAGAAATTTAAGAGTATTAAAATACTTGAAAGTGTTGTATTGCATGCATTTTTTATTGATACACATCGCTTTGTGCATGATAATAAAAATGTACAGTAATGACTATGGTAATTAAAGCACTTAACAACCACAGGCAAATGTGTAATGCGGTATGTTATTCTTTCAAATGACCATTAAAAACAAAATTTTGTTGGAATCCCCTGGTCTTTTTTTCTTGAAATTACTAATATGGAACTTTGATGCATGTTTGATGATAATACCATAAAAGTTAATTGTATGGTTACATTTGGCTTTTAAACCTCACCAGCTTGTCATTCGCATTGACTTTTACTGCAATAAGATAAGATCGTTATGTTTGTTATTACGCGGCGATGCCGATAATGTTCAGCGTACCGCTGAGGTATTTTTTTCCTTATAACGCACTATTTATCACTCCAACCTTTGTTTTTCTGTTCTTCACTTAGACATAATCTTTTTAATTGCTGTACATATAAACTTAGAGTGGAAACATATTTTATATTTTATGTAAGATTTAAGTATTTTGGTTGGGAATCCGTGTTCTTTTTTTCTTGAAATTACAAATATGGAGCTTTAATGCATGTGATTTATGTATAAGACAAAAGACTAAGGAATGCAGAATCCGTCTTCATTATGTTTCAGTGTCGCCATCTGCGCCTCGACTGCTAGCGTGGTTAAAGTCAGTTCAGGCACGGTGCCAGAGTACTATGTCAGAGTGAATCCCTGCACAGCTCTGTGCAGCAGTGCATATTCTACTGGCTTTTGGTTCACTGCACAGAGGTACAGAGGTTGCTGTGGTAACAACATATGTTATTGCACTTTAACCACCGTTCTTTACTCGGCAAGTTTTTTACCTCTATCATTAACATTTAAAAACAAATGTGGTAGTAAAGGGATAAGTATATTTAAAAAAAGAACATCGATGCTTACAATTTTATAGAATCTATTAAGATGAATATGAATATAAAAAAATTGATATTTATCACACCATCCCTTACATCTCTATCAGTGCCAATGGTTGAGTTTTAATTGAAAAAAAACCAAAAGATGCACAAATGTTCCATTTCCCACTGTTTTCTCAATATATAGATGCAGTCATATTTTTGTAAATAATTCAAGGACGGAAAACATTTTATTTTGTTGAAAATAGTGTATTGCATTGATATTTTATTTTTTGTCAACTACAATTTAATTTACCGCGTTGTATTAGTACCACCAGCGTGTACGCTGGCAGTACTTATGGTTTTAGTCCCGACCCGTCTCGCACGGCTCCGCCGGCTCCGGGATACAAGTCACCGTTACCGCTTCTCCTAGACCGCACGGACCTGTGTCCCCATCTCTTAGACTTAGGTCACATATAATCTCAACTTGAATCCCTTTTTTGTTGTCTCAATCGGTGCATTGGCCTGGGCGTGACACTCGTTGAACGAAAATTCAACCCTAAATATCCCCCAAACCGAAGGAATTATGGAAAAATTACTATGGATGTCTGACCGAAAGTCGTATGTAAAGATTTTAAATATACGAAATTTATGGCACATTACTATAACTCCAAAATTGCAACATATTTGCCCCTTATATCTCTTAAACTGTCAGAGATAGGCCCATAGTTGCTATTGAAGTTGAGTAGAAAGTCCTATACTGGCGATTTAACCGCGACTTGAAATTGACCTTTGACCTACTTTTCATCATGAAATGACTTTTGCAAGATTTCTGTCCCTTACATCTCCAAAACTGGCAAAACTGAAAGTCACAGGAGTGATCAATATTACGAAAATACAGGTCAATTCGAAAATCAGCTTAATTGGACAATTTTTACAGTTATGCTGTTTTTTTTTCACTTCTTTTTTCATATTTTGAGAACTCTTGTTTATTGAATTTTATAGAGCCTGTCAAACACAATACTGGTGGCGGGGTCCCTTTTTTGGCTTTCCATATGGATGTGCTTACTCCAGCTGGTGGTACAATATCCGGAGGCGGTATCGCCTCTGTGATCTTCTAGCTTTTTTCTTATTTTCATTTTTTGTTTGTTTGCTTGTGTGTATGTTTGTGTCACTTTTATTTGTAACAGCTGTTGTTTTTTACTGGTAGATAACTGTCTGTGATTGAGGAATTAACATTTTAACATTTTAAAAATAACAGATTATCTTACCGGTAAACCGCTCAAAAGCATTATGGCTGGTTTATTCAGTTTCTAATCAGCACCTTTAAGTGTCCTTTCACCAACCACCTAGCGTTCCTCACTCCTTCTCTACTCCTCTCCTACCGTTTTATTCCGATAAGAGATGCCATGATGGAATGTAGGGCATCTAACTACACTCTGAATACTTATGAATTTTCGTATTTATTTTTTCAGAGTAGTTGCACCCTGATTAACTAATGAGATATGGAAAAGAAAAATTGAATGAAGTAAAAAAAAAAAAGACGTGCTCAGTGCTGCTTTGCTGATAGATTCGGAACGTATAGTTTTGATTAACAAGCCAAACGGACAAACTGAATAGAAACTGAATAGAAACTCCTTTGATTGAACTTCCTGTTTTCAATGTATTCTAAACTCTATAATGTTTTCTTTTTGCAAGGATCTGTCCAAATTAAACATCGTGTGCACTTCATATATAAATTTATAAATAATTAAAATGGCGGATAGGTGTGCAAATATATAGGAAGGGCTATTTCAACATCGGATTAAACATTTATGGGTTTTTGTTGTGTATCGAACATTTATTAGCTATAATTGAAAGAATACTAATAAGTGTCCTGTTATTTTGTGTTAATATCCTAGTTATCTTTGTATCTTTTTCTGTGTTTATCGTCATTGTTTGTGAAACATAATGCCGCAGAGGAATTTGATTTGCCTGATGTTTTCAAAATTTTTTATTTTGATACTAAACTTATAGTTCACTAGGAAAAGGATCTTATAAACTCAGAATAGAGTTTTTGTAGTCAATCATTTAAACAACAAAAAATTTGAATCAACCACGACACGTGCAGTTTTTCCCAGTTTTTTTTCCAAAAACCAATTAATTAAGAAGTTCTTATCAATGTTTATTTTCATCTGGCCCTTCATTTGCATATTTCGTAAATAATAATTGTAGAGCCGTTATTCAAACACTTCAATAAGTGGGAAACATAGCTTATGTTTGCATGGGCATAGAAAAATTTAGGTAAAACATGCTGAGTTTACAAATGTCTCAAATAAATTGTAGCAGCTATTGCTTTTGAACTTTAAACACAATTGTTTTTATTTCAAAAGATGTTTTTATCAAGTACGTTCTTGGTATCATTTTGCATATTCGGGTAAATTCTTACTCTCACAGAGGAAGAGACACGTGTTCATTCAATATATCTGAAGTGTTTAAAACTATTCAATATATCTTTGAATGGACTGTCAAACATTACTTCACTTTTGAAATTATACACGCCGAGATTATAACTAATTACATTGCTGGCAATTAATATAGATGAATACAGTATTTAAATGATCACCATACCTATAGATCTATAAATAAACATATCGCAAGGATTGCAACTTAATTTCGATTGATCATTCGATTATTATTCAAGGAAACTTGTTTGCCTTTGTGTTAGTAAACAACTGATCTATAAACGGATTTTGAAAAAAATCAAAATATGTCTAAATGGGTTAGCGTAGGGTCGATTAGCTTTTGGGGTTGATACAACAATATAGTCCAAGTATTTGGTGCAGAAAAAAAGGGTGAATTGTGCATTTTTACCTACAAGCATGAAATTTGGCACAGTTGTAGATAACGGAATTCTAAACCATTTTGGATATATGGGCATGTCTGAAAATTCCAATATGGCCGCCAATTCCAATATGACCCGCCACAAATACTCTTTTAAATTAAAACTTCTAATATATAATCCTATAATGGTTTAAAATATCATTTTATAGTTAGGAAATACCATGATAAGAATGAATTATCAATACCCGCTTCTTTAGGTGTATAGAAATCCAAAATGGCCCCCAAAAGTAAAATAAGCAGTCTATTTACTCAAAATATGCAGCAGTATGGTGAATTCATTAAGTACTTACAACTACAAGTAAAAATTGGCACAGTTGTGGAGAACATGATTCTAAGAAACGTTGGATATAGGTGCATGTCTGAAAATTCCAATATGGCAGTCAATTTTAATATGGCCACCAAAATACTCTTTCAAGGTGAAAGTTATTTATGTAGTCTTTTACAAAAATATCATTTAATGGTTAGAAAATGCCATAGTATCCGCCTCTTTAGGTTTTAAAATTCCAAAATGACCTCCAAAAGTCAGTGGGCCACATGTATTGGAAACATGAATTCGAGGGCCCAGGGAAACTCAAATAAATTTGTATCAGCTTTTGCTTTTAAACTTTGAAGACAATTGTTTTTCATTTTAAAAGATATTTTGATCAAATTAGGGCTTGATTCTGTACAAATGGCTCAATTTTCACAATTGTCGAGGAGCAGACACGTGTTTATTCAATCTCTTTGAAGTATTCAAAACCGTCCAATAGATTTTTTGCATGGACTGTCAAACATTTCTTCACATTTAGAAATATAAGTGATAATTGAGTAATCCATGAAAACCATGTGGAGTTGCCTACCTCCTTCCAGTGTTTTGTTGGACCTTGCTTATGCGACAGATTTTAGCAATTCTTTCAGGCTTCTAGCTTTGAATGACATAACTTACTCTTGCCGTACGTTTCAATCGTTTTGCAAAATTTTTGTAAGTTTTCCGGAATACGTTTTGGAAATGCATATGTTTTTGTCTTTTATAACGTTTGTATTACATTCTGGAAGAACATTATAATATTATACCGTTTTAATAACACTCATAAGAACTGTTACAACAACAAAATATGTTATAAAACGTTTTTTTTTTTTCTTTTTTTTCTTTTTTTTTTTTTTGTGGAGATTAAAAACGTCATCGTAACGTTAAGATGACGTTGCAGATAAGTTTATGAAATGTTTCTATAAAAGACTATATTACCGTCATCTAGTGTAATTTTTTTATGATTTTATAACGTTCTGGAACGTCTTATAATAATGTTTCGAAAACGTTTTTATAACTAAAAAAATAAGTAATAACAACGTTATAATAAAAAGTTTAGACGTTCATAAAACGTCAACAATAATAATACAATACAAAATCGCTCAATTTAATTTAAAAAGAACAACAAACCGGTACTCCAAATGATCGAGAAAAATGTACTTGAAGCACCTCACTTATATTGACACAACGCTATGACCAAGTATGGTCAGGATACTGCTTATTATATACTCCATTAGTCAGCATTACATAAATCTTTATATTAAAATTATATATGGAATGTATATACCCAGCAGGCATAGTGACGTTGGATCAACGTTGAAAACGGGTTGATACGTTGAATTGCCGTTGATCTACCTAAATTCAAAGTAAAATCAACGTTGATCCAGCCACTTCAAAACACCGTCATAATGTGACGTTGACTCAACGTTGTATTTTGGTCATTGACTCAACGTTGTTGTTTGGTCGTCGTGATGCAAGACATGGATTGTAACTTTAAATATTAGTTATTGAAAACGTGACACTTTGTTTATCAATACTGTAACTATCAATACTGTATCAAAATAATAAAAAAGTGTTTTAAAGTAAAAGTGACAGTTGTTTTATCTCTTTAGTGAACTAGTGAATTTTCTTAACTTGTTATTCAGAAATACATTCCAATAAACTTTCTTGCAAGGTCAGCTAACACTAGGATGAATAAGTCGTTGTAAATGTGATGGAGTGAAGTTAGTTAACAAAGTTGACAGTCCTCGGTACCCTGTTATAGATAGCCAGGTTGAGGTGACTGTGGCCCGTATTCCAGAATCTCCCTTTAGCGTTAAGGGAGACTTAAAGTCGACCTTATACGAAATTTGTATTCCAAGACCTTTCTTTATCTCACTTGAAAGGAATCACTTAACAATCATCCTTAGGAAAGGAATCGGTCATTTCTAGAATCTGCCTTTGCTTAAAGATTTCCTTTATTTTTGGCTGAGGATTCCTTAAAATGTAAGGTTGGTCTGGAGTAACTTTTAGTCTTCCTTAAGCAGCCATCGTGTACAGTTCTCTTGTGAAAATCAGCTTCATGGAGGACTATGTAAACCAACATGTCTACCCAAATTCAAAATCATTAAATTCAACTAGAAAAGCACTCCGAGAGCAAAGTCTCCACCCAATTTTCATTCTATAATGATTTAGTTTTTTTATTTTTGATTATTGATTGATTATTGATCCGGATCACCACAAAAACTAATCATGTGTCCCTTGGCCCACTTGTGACAGTTCCTGAAAACCTCATCACAATCGGCACATAACTTTTTGAGTAATTTTTGATTTTTGATTATTGACTGATTATTGATCTTGATCACCACCAAAAACTAACAACTTCTAAGTTAACCCAGTTCTGACCTACCCTGTAAATTTCATAAAAATCGGTCCATGATTTTTGAGTTATTTTTGATTAATGATAATTGATTGATTATTGATCTTGATCACCTCCAAAAACTAATCACTTCTAATATAACCCATTTCTGACTTACCCTGAAAATTTCATCAAAATCGACTTTTTGAGTTATGTTGATGACAAACAAACAAACAAACAGACAGACAGACAGACAAACAGGGATGAAAACATAACCTCCTTGGTGGAGGTAACAAAAAGACAGACAAACAAACAGGGGTGAAAACAACCTCCTTGGCGGAAGTAATACATTTGATCGAGGATAGGCTTTTCTCTGTTGACTAGTTGCATCAGTTGCTGCTTTTCGATATCAGAAAAGGGTCGACGACTTTGGTTTTCTCATCCTCCAAACCATTCTTTTCTCTTCTTGGCATACTTGCTTTATTTACTAAATTTGGCTTAGATCAAAACATCCACATGCAGTGATAATGTCCATATGCGCTGTTGCATGACTGAAGTTGATAAGTTGACCCCAATTATACAACATTACTGAGGCGTTTTTAACGAGGAGGGTGTCACAAAGACCTACTCTAACCAATGAGGAGCTCCTTTATGTCAGTGTCCCTTATAGTCCGTGGGCCAAATACCGAAACCCTCCCCCCCCTTAGTGATTTTCGTTCACTATGTTTTTCTGATAGCTTAGGTCCTTAGCTTTTATTTTCTGCTTGTTTGCCATTAAACTGGTGGTGGGTGTGTGTGCTACAGCCGTTGCCATGGTAACACACGAGTTAAAAATTGACATTTCTGAGCCCAACAAAATCTAAAATATTTCAAATACATAAACTAAATAGAATTCAAAATCATTCTAGACATGTAGTCTAAGATGTGCACTATACCTAACGATGAACAAAATTTTCCAAGATGGCAGCAAATCCAAGATGGCGGCCAATTTTTGCTGTTTTTTCAGAAATTTTGATAATTTTTAATTTTTTAATTCTTATTTAATTATTAAAGAATTGCAATATCTGAGATATTTTGATGCACCATTGTAGCATGGAATCTCTACTTTCTGCCTGTAGTGTTTGTTCAAGGTACAATCTTTTTATTGAGATGAAAAATCCTGAAATCCAACATGGCTGCCACAAAACAAGTCTTTTACATGTAGCTGTCCTGTCTGGAAATATGACAGATTTATCATCCCAAAATAAGTTCTTCATTACTTTTGGTGCACTGAATATAAAAACAGAACCCTTTTCAATTACTTGACTTAATTTGGATTACAGTATGGCTTTCAAAATTCAAAATGGCCGCCAATGACCGTGAATTTACATCTTTGTAACCAGTAGACTAAAATATGACCGCAATATTCCTAATTTTATCTTAAGTTTGGATGAATACTTATGTTTTAATAGTGCTGATCACTACTAGATGTGTGGTCATGTAAAATGATTAAAAAAAGAAAGATCAAATGGTCAACAATAACCTAGACTAGATAAAAGACCTATAATACCCCCCAATAAATGCAAGTCACTCACATTTGACCTAAGAAATCACACAAAGTTTCATGCCCTACATGCTAATCACTCACATTTGACATGGGAAGGAATACATTTGAGTTGAAATACTAATGTATTCTGTCGCATTTGAAAGAAATGGCTGTCAATGAGTATAGGGGACTATATATTTATGGTCAATATGATACACTCTTGCTAAAAAATTGATAGAAAATTATATTCGAAAAAGAATGTTACTTAGATTGATTTTATTAACCTGAACCTCCCTTTAGCGACTTTTATTTACTATTATATATCGCTTACATCCTAAGATCCCATTTTCTGCTTGTTTTCTATTCAATTAACCCAGCCATTGCCATACTAACACAGGGGTTCGAAATTGACATTTCTGAGACTAAGAAAATTTCATACATTTCAAATATATTAACTTCAAGAATAATGTAAACTTAAGAGGACATCTGTATTCGTGGTATGATGGCAAAACATTCTTTGAACATCCAAGATGATGTGATTTTTTGCAAGATGGCAGCAATATCAAAATTGCAGCTGGTTTAAGCTGATTTCTAAACCTGTTTCTACTGTAAGTGACTAATGTTAAAAATTTAATAAATTTAATGGGATCGAGAAATGTTAAGTATTTTGATATCCATATGGTATTTAGTCTTTACTTACGGCTTATAGTGTTTGTTATTCCTATAATTATCATTTTATTTCTATTGGGCAAGTTGAATGACACAAAATAGTTTGATTTTGAGTGAAAGGCAACTAGTTTGCAAATATAGATGGCGATTTTGCATTTCTAAACAATTATATTTTAAGTAAAATGTTATAAAAAATTAAATTATATATTCAGTTANATCGTCTCTTACCATCTATTGGGCAAGTTGAATGACACAAAATAGTCTGATTGTGAGTGAAAGACAACTAGTTAGTTAATATAGATGGCGATTTTGCATTTCTATACAAATATATTTTAAGTAAAATGTTATAAAAAATTAAATTATATATTCAGTTGAAGTTAGTGGATATATTGATTTTTCGAAAACGTGGATATAATTTTACCTCTCTAGCAGTTTGAAGCTGAGTTATGGCATATACATGTAAATGTTTTATTCCATTTATTCATATAGATGAACACCATCCTAGATTGTAACAAAAACTCAGTTTCAGAGGTAACAGCAAATTTTAATTGGCTTTCCAGTGAACATTCTTCATGAAAAAAGACTACAGCCAAGACATTTCATCCATTTCCAACAAGCCTTAATCCTAAATATTTAACTGAATATGGACAAGTGTTTCCGTGAAAGCAGTGTAGAAAGGGCATATTTGATTATAATTAACTGCAAAAATTTTAGAATTATTTGTTTGTTGCACTGTTTAATATTATTGCAGCAAAATTCATACCTGCACTGTCATGGCCATTTGTGGCCATGGTGAATTTTGGAATAGCCAAGTAAATATAATTTGGCTGAAAATGAATATTAATAGAAATGATTTATATTTAGATAATATCCTAATAGGTTAATTCAGTTTATCAGAAAGAGCAAAAGAGGCATTTTGAAACGAAAATGTAATATATATTCGGTCAGCACAGCAATATGTATGAACCCTGTTTTGTGATGGCCACCATGGGTTTAAGGTTTTATTACACTTAAAAAGAGGATATAGGAGTAACAATCACTGTAAACAGTAATTATGCAATTCTGTTCTATCAGCATATCCAAAAACCAAACATTTTTCAATTCCAATGCTGCTTTGAAAGTTTACAAAAAGCTACTTTCAGTAATTGTAAGAAAATTAACATAAATCTATTGTCATCTTGGATTGGCTGCCATTTTGGCAATTTAACTATGATAATTTTTTCAAATAATATATATTTGAAATACATGGCAATTTAAAGGTCTCAGAAATTATAATTTTAAAACCCCTGTGTTACTATGGCAACAGCTGA